TTAGTTAGTTAGTTAGTTAGTGCTCAAAAATATCTTAGAAAAACACATTCATTCTTATTTTGAGTGATGTTGCCTCTCCACAAATCTAACCTGTAATTTGACTTGCAAGTCTCCATGAAGATTCCTTAGTTTATGTCCATACGGTGGAAAATTTTAGGCAAATCTCCATGGAGACAAGCAGGTGACGGACCCTTTAATAGATAAGTTACACAGTGAACCTCTGCCTAATAGAGACTAAGAACAAGACAGAGTTTGTTTGTGCAGATGCCATTCCTCGTCTTACTGCTTATCTTTCAGTGCATCTTTTATTGCTAAATTTGCATAAAATATATAGCTTTCTATTCTGTTTCTGGCAGCAGTATTTTACCCAGCGGAGTTTACAGTGTTGGGGATTGGGCCTGGGGTTTCTCTGCCAAATGCTTCAGTCTTTTTATTAGTCTTGAGCAGTTATATGAAGCCAATGTTGTGCTATTGAATGACCTCTTTGATTTGTGTTGCCCCTGGGGTTAAAGTTCACAGTTCAAAGTTTGTTTCACTGTCTGGGTCAGTGTTAAATTTGCATAGTCTATTTACATTTTAGGATGTTTTTGATAAATAATTATGATATTGTGCTAGAACATGTGGGTAATACTTGCTGTCTATATTTAAACTGCACATATAAATCCAAAAAAATATAGAGAGATAAAAAAGCATGCATTTTTACTGTGAGTAGGGTTGCCTCTCCACAGATCTAACCTGTAATTTTGCATCATAGTGTCATCTGATGGTCTTCACATAGACAAGTTCAATGCCATACTGTGAAAGTTCTAAGACAAATCAATAACATGTCTATGGAGACAATCAAATTGCTAACCCTCCACCAGAAAAGTTACATATTGCATCTTTAACTTGGATGCATGCTCATTTTTTTCTAATGTTATATCTCTCTTTTGGTAACATTTAAAATATTTTTTTCTGTCTGGACCTTTCCTCTCTTATCAAATTACGTATTAAAAGATACTTTCTAAACAAATTTGTCTGCTGAGATGAATCATGTCTTATCTTATCTTATCTTATCTTATTTAATATTACTAAATCATCTTGAAGTTAGCGTTTTAGCCTCTTTCCAACAATTCTTCCTATCTTCCTGACCACATCTAATATTACTACAAAATGACTTTATAACTGATAATAACTGACTTTATCTGTCTTATGTAGGGTTAGGATCATAAACCATACTATCGTTTTATCATGATAATAAGGGTAGACAATAATCATTCGTGAGACATTTTATATAATTGTGATACTCACCAACAAAGGTAATCACCATAAATCATCAGAATGTGCAGAAAAAAGCTAGTCTCATTCATCAGTCAGTTTCATTTTGTGGAAACCGCCTGACCTCGCAGCTTTAGGATTTGTTCACTCGACTGTAGCCAGTGATGGATAGTCACTTTAGTCTGAAGTCTGTTTTACTGGTATGTGTCTGTCTGTCTGTGTACCTCTGGTGGGTTTTGCAGAAGTTTTATTGTATATGTGAAGTAGTTGGTAGTTGATAGTAGTTTTTAGTTTTATGATTTTATATTTTATTTTACTGTGCTGTGTGCACTTTGAAGGAGCAGCTGTGCATCTCATTATACTGCGAATAATGACAATAAAGGCTTTCTATTGTATTCTATTCTAGGTGGGTACTTTTTTAATTTAATCAATCGCTGCTATTTGGTCGTGATGTATCTAATGCTCCGCTCACAGGGCTAATTGGAATATAAAGCTTTTCCCAAATCCCAGCTTTAAATTCTTGATCTCGGGAATCGACAACAGATCAACACAGAATATATGTCTTCGTCTACACCCATTTCGATCTCTTTGTTTACTGTTGTGCTGTACCACAAAAGGGACCTAGACAGGAGCTTGAGTTTGACATCATGGTTTCTCAGTTCTTCACTGATTGGCCAATGTGCGGTCTACAACTTCCGGGTTTCTTGCAAACCGTCCAGTGTATTCTGATTCCTGACCTAGTCGCTGGAGAGAAATGAAATTGAGCGGAGGCACTAGGTGGTGCCAGCCTGGCTAGAAAAAAGCTACTTCTCCATGATGTTTTCATCTAGATAATTGTAGAAAACACTATACGATATACGACACTAAAACACTTGTTTAAATATGGAACCTATTCATAATAATCAAATGATCACCATTCACTTCCATAACATTTTAAAACTGTCAGCAGCTTTCATAATATAGACATAATTGTTAATTGCAATTATGGAGGTTCGAATCCTGCTTTTTGGCCATGATAATTGTGACACCAAATTTCTATATCATCCCATGCCTAGTCCCGTGTCATAGCTGTATTTTTTTACTCCTGCCCTATTAGACCATAAGGAGTGTGTTATGACAGCAACCCCATGTAATGTCAATACAGCGCTGGTACAGTAGTAATTAGAGGGGGGCTGTTACAAGTAAAAGATTTCCTCGACCACTGGAGCACTAAATTTGCCGTCCCAGTCAGCCCGCCCCAGAGACGGCGCAGTGTGGGGCTTTTCCTCCTCACGTTGTACCAGGTCTAATTGGGGAACGCTGTCTGGTGTCTGCTACAGAGCTAACTAAATAAAAGAGATCATGTGACCAAGAGGGCAGCTTTTAGGATTATTGGCCTTGGATTAAATGAGATACTGTGAGAGAAATGTGATTAACAATAATGGGACAGATTTCAGTGTATCAGAGCTTTTTTTGGTTAGTCAGTGTTATATTTTTGTAAATGATGTAACTTTTTCTGTTTCTGTGCAATTTATCCAACTTTGCCAATGTTTCGTAAACTTAATCAGGGGCTACTCTAACTCTATTAAAGTTCATGTCTCTAGGGGGATGTCATTATTTAGCCTGTAATGTTCCATGGTAGGGCATTAAACTCCAGGGAAATAGCAGTTGGCGCCACCAGGCTCAGTTAGAGGTCAGATCTATGGACAGATGACCCCACTCACAGTAAAAATACATGATTTTTAAAGTACTTGTCAGCAATAAAAAACACCTGTAATTCAAAAATGCAAGATATGAATTTAATGCCATACATTGGAACATTCATAAATAGGCGTAATTATTAGGGCTGACCGATATGGATTTAAAAAATGTTTTTATTTATTTTATTTTTTCTGGATGATACCCATAAAATGGGAGTTGGGGGTGCCAACAGCTGATATAAAATCTGATATATATTTAGTGTATATATATATATATATATATATATATATATATATATATATATATATATATATATATATATATATATATATATATATATATATATTCACTCTAAATCTTCAGTTGATTATAAAATTTAGGTCTGGCTCTACTGGATTTTATATTGGCTTTGTTTAGGCTACATTGATTGTTAATCTGCCTCTTTACAGTCATAAATAAAGAGAGTAGGTCAGCCTAATGGCATTTTTGCATGACAATCTAGATTCTAAAGAAACTAAATAAACTACCGCTATCAGCCTTTAGCAGTAAATGCGTGTGCGCCACGGTCATTAATTATATGCATAGATGTCAATCATTCACACCTCTGTTTACACCTCATTTACATATCAATGCAGGTCCAGTAACATGTACAGTCACTTTACACTAGGCCAGTGTCCGAGAAAACAGGCTGTTTATGTATGGTATCTTATAGCAGCTGATCACTAACCAATGGGAAAGAACCAAAAGTAAATTCAAGTTCGACACATTTGCAACACTCACCGCTCACACAGACACAGATCACAAGTCTGCACTAAGTTTGATAAAAACAGCAGTAGTTTTGTTGCTGGCCTAAACTGCACTGAAGTTCACATTTATTTATAGTCAGTTGGATCAGACACAAGAGCATTTAAAGCAGCGCCTCAGTGTTGTGCACATGGATCTTATAAACAAGCACATGAGTGACGTGACTCTGGGGGTGTGTTCAGGGGCAGTACGGCATCACACAAACAGACAAATTATTCTGCAGATAAATATTGATGGACCCCATATATTAGGACATTTATCTGTCTGTAAATTGGATTAAATGGACATAATATACAGAGTCTAAGCTTTATAAAGAGGTATAACATGCCCACGTGGACTATCGGCCTAAGTCTTGCAGATAGTTGATATCTTTCCAAGTGCCCATATCAGCTAATAATATCGGCCAACCAAAATAATCGGTCTGGCCCTAATAATTATATACATTTTCATAATTGTGCCTTATTTTATTATTTATTATATATCTTATTTTGCTACTTATATTAAATATATTTTTACCATTTATATTTTTCGTCTTTGTTATGTTATATTGTGATGTGTGAGCTACTGTGTCCAAGTAGCTCACACTTGTGGCCATACTGTCTGGTAAAAGTCAGATCTCAGAAGCTCAGCAGCTGGGCCTGGGTAGTACTTGAATGGGAGACCGCTAGGAATTCCAGGTGCCACAGTGGGGCGCCAGTGGCTGTTGTTGTGTCCTTAGGCAAGACACTTCTCTCACATTGCCTAGTATGAAAGTGGTGTGAGCGTGAGTGATGGTGGTGGTCGGAGGGGCCAATGGCGCAGATTGGCAGCCTCGCTTCAGTCAGTCTGCCCCAGGGCAGCTGTGGCTACAGTAGTAGTTTACCACCACTGAGTGTGGAGTGACTGAATAATGAACTGTAAAGCGCTTTGGGGATCTTGAAAGGCGCCATATAAATGCTATCAATCAATCAATCAAGTAATTTTCCTTGTGGATCAATAAAGCCTAAGTCTAAGTCTAAATCTAATTCCAGACAAAGCATTATCTCCATGGTGACAGATCTTGGACCAAAAAGTTACAAAGTGGATCTTTAAGTGTGAGGTGTCAGTTTAACATGCTTATTGGCAAAAGGCTCATTCCACTGCAGCGGGCTGAATGATACAGCATGAGTGAGAGTGGATTTAAGTAAAAGGTGATTGGAAGTGTTCTGTTCTGATGAAAGAGTGATTTGATCTTGTACAACAGCTGACCGTGCTGCTCTCTCTTCTCTTCTGTTTTACAGGAGTGAGCCCGGGGCTGGATGGGACCCACCATGCCCCCCAGTAAGAAGGCTCAGAGCCCCAGCAGTGGAGCCAGCGCATCAGAGGGGAGGAGCCCGCCGTACAGGGGGCAGGGCGAGGCCACGGAGGCAGAAGCGGGCGACCTGTCCCTGTCTCTATCCGCCTCCTTCTCCAAAGCCGACGATGAGGAGCTGACCAGCCTGTCCTGGCTTCACGAGAGCACGGATCTCCTCAACAGCTTCAGTCACTCTGGGTTACGCAGCGTGTCCCCCCTCCAGGATGCAGGACACAGCCAGCGCTCGCCCTCCTCCTCCCCCTCCCCCGATGACCCCCTGCTGGGCGACGCGCACTCCTTCGACCTGGGCACGGGGGCAAACAGGAAGCCGCCCTACTCCTTCAGCTGCCTCATCTTCATGGCCATCGAGGACGCGCCAAACAAGAGGCTCCCGGTCAAAGACATATACGGCTGGATCCTGGAGCACTTCCCCTACTTCGCCAGCGCCCCCACAGGCTGGAAGAACTCAGTGCGTCACAACCTGTCCCTCAACAAGTGCTTCAAGAAGGTGGACAAGGACCGCAGCCAGGTAAATGATACACTATAACTGCTATGATTGAGTTATCCAATTCAAATCTATTATATGGGCAAGTGTCCAGTTTTCAGCCTTGGCACCAATAGAAAGAATGAGACAGAATGCCTCGGAGGTTAGTTTGGTTTCATTTTTGTGGATGGGCACGCTACTAGTATATTTGTCACTGCCAAACATAGTAGGCCCTATATAATGAAGATTGTTCATTTGAGCTGAAGCACCACTTTAGAAGAGTATTCTCCCATCCCATTGTCGTAGCTTTTCAGCTCTTAAGTCACCAGATTAATAAAAAAACATTATTATTGAATAGAAATGCACTGGTAACCCTGTATAATAACTACCCAAGTTATAGCATGAAGGGAGATTTAATTCATAGTAAACAAATAATTCATTAAGAGTGATTAAGGCTCAGTAACTACTTAGCGGTAGTACTATTAAGGGTTAAGTTTAGGGAATAGTGTTTGAGTATTAATTAAGAAGTAATTTTGCCTGAATTGTTCTTAATAAACTGTTTGTTTCTTATGAATTACCTTATTTTTTGGATTATAAGACTCTCTGGAGTATAAGTCGCACCAGCCAAAAAATGCTTATTGAAGAAGAAAAAAACATATATAAGTCTCACTTTTGGGGGGAAATTTATTTTATAAAATCCAAGAGTAGGAACCGACATTTCATCTTGAAAGACAAGTTATAGTAAAAACAACAGAATAGAGAACAACAGACTGTTAACGTCACGTATGAACAGTTCTTCAGATAAACTATAGCATCAACAACAGAAGAGAACATGTTTACCAAACTCTCCATCTCACTCCAAATCACTAAATCCATTGAATTCTTCATCACTTCTGAGCAACTCTACGACCTCCGGAGGTAAATGGAGCGTCGCGTCCTCGTAGCTGTGGTCAGACTCAGCATCAGATCCAGTTAGAATTATTCTGGCCTTTCTGAATCCCGACAGGATGTTTCAGTTGTCACTGAAGTCCAGGCTTTGTTGATCCATCCAGTGACTTCCAGGAAAGTTGTATGGTGCACCCTCCCAGTTGTCACAAGTTTCTCGCTCAGTCCAAACTTTCTTTTTGCTGCCATTACCATTTTTGACTGCGTATTTTGCTACTTGCATCTTGTAATCTGCAAAATATGATTTTCTTTTTGGGGGCATTTGTATTCACTCTTCTCAGATGTCTTAATAAGTTTTGTTTAAATTGTTTTTTTCTGGCTTTGTTTAAGATGCATTGTGTAACTTTTCTGGTGGAGCATCTGTCAAATTATTTTCTCTGTGGAAATGCTATTCTTTACCTTTTACAGTGTAGTATTAAACCTCTCTATCAAAATGGGAACCAAATTATACCAAGTTACAGGTCAGATCTGTGGAGAGGTTTTTCTAGGTATTTTTGAGCCATAAAACCACCTGCAATTGAATGAGCTGTTTAATGTCATAATGTGGAAGATTCCAGACAAAGGAATGACATATCCATAGAAACAAGCAGGTGATGGACCCCAACCAAAAAGTCACATACACACATTTAAGGCTCATTAAGGTGTAACTATTACAAAGTCTTACCAGTTCATTTCCCCTCTGCAAACCTAAACTTATGTGACCTTTCACAGCACAAAGTCTTATCTCTGCTGTATTTACAATTGGGTTTGGTTGAGTTGCTCCTATAGACAAGCTTTTATTGCTGTATCATATAGCAAAGAGGGAATAAATGGTGGAAATTCCAGCACAAACAACTGCAAAAGAAGATTTGAAAGCACATACGGTTACATTCATTTGTAAGTTCAAACCGTGTGTTAAAATCATAATTCATTTTCATTTTTTTTCTTATTAGACTTGTTTGAAATGTAACGTTGCCTTTTGTATAATTGATTTCAATTAGTGTTGTCCCGATATTAAAATTTCAAACCACAGTTCCACAGTGGAATACTTATACTTTTACTTGTTCTAATACAGCTCATTCTAAAGCTATTCAGGAAAGGTTCATTTCTGTCCTGTGAATGCAACTTTTTTAATTTTGATACCTGCTCAAATGAGTATCTAGTTTCTATACTAGTTTTAGTATCGATTAGCATCAGATTTTTTATATTTTTGACAACGCAAGTACAAAATCATAATTATTTTTACAAATTCAAATGGATCTGCGTTAAAATTCTTTCTCACTTCTTTTCTCAGTAGACTTGTTTGAAGTGCAGTTATATGTTACCTTTTATATAATAAAAAAACCAAACATTTCCTTCAACCTCCAAAGCCTATCCTGCCGGGTGTTTTTATTATACTCTAGCCTTGATATTTGATTCTATATGATCAAGCTCCATATTTCTCTATTGTTTTGCATACGCAGTTAGATAAGAGTTCTTACTTGACACGTTTGCAAAGCTGTATCATAATTACATGTAACCGCAGCAAAGAAGGAAAAAGTTGAGTGAAAAATATGCGAAAAGAAAAATATTCCCACAAGGAGTTTGGTTTTGTTGGAGCCGACACATAATGAGCTGTTTAACATTGGAAAACAAACATGCAATAGTCCACGGAGAGGGGACCAGAGAACGCACGGAATACACGGGGAAAGTGTGTCATGGATTCAATAGTGGCGTTTTTCCATGTAAAAATACAATCAAGGCCAGCTGCTCTTTTCTATGGTGGTTTCCGTCTTGAGTTTTAGTCTGTTTACATTAATATTCACCATTGCACTTTTTGTCATAAGAGTTGTCTTTAAAGGGGTAGTGTGTAACTTTTTGTGTGAGGAGAACGTGGCCTGCTTGTCTCCATGGGGATTATTGATTTTCATGCAATGTTCCGTAGTATGGCATTTAACTATCCATCCAGCATTTATTTAGTTATAGATGTTTGTATTGCTAAAAATTCATAGCGTGTCATCCACTTGTCTGCTTGTTTTCCTGGAGAGTTTAAGTTTAATGCCATAATGTGGAACATCACAGGCAAATAACAATAACAAAAGCATCTCCATGGAGACAAGCAATTGGCAGATCCTCCATCAGAAAAGTTACATAGTGTACCTCTAATGAGCTGAAATACATACAGGTACAAACTCCAAATGTAAGTTGTTGTTGTTGTTTTTTTTTTAATCATAATTTATTCCAAACACCATATCCACTGAGAGGACCCTTCTGATCTTGATCCAAGTTATAGTTAAGAGTACCTGATGGTTATATATGTTTTACAGCTAATTAAAAAGTAAACTCCACCACAGTAGTGTAGGTTCCCTGAGATCTAAACCAGGATTTGGGCTGGATGAGATCTGGACTGTGATCTGGTCTGTGGTCTGTGGTTTGTGGTTTCTGGTCTGGTATCTGGTCTAGAGTTTGGTCCAGACTCTCTGGCCTAGTCTCTGATCTGATGTGATCTTTTGGCTAATCTCTGGTCAGTACTTCAGTCTGGTCTCTATTCTCTCGTCTGGTCTCTGGTCTCTGGTCTCTGGTCTCTGGTCTCTGGTCTCTGGTCTGGTCTCTGGTGTAGTCTCTGGCCCAGTCTCTGATCTTATGTGATCTCTTGGCTAATCTCTGGTCAGAACTTCAATCTGTTCTCTGTTCTCTGGTCTGGTCCCTGGTCCCTGGTCTCTGGTCTCTGGTCTCTGGTCTGGTCTGTGGTCTGGTCTCTGGCCCAGTCTCTGATCTGATATGATCTCTTGGCTAATCTTTAGTAGGGACCTCAGTCTGGTTTCTGTTCTCTGGTTTCTGGTCTGGTCTCTGTTCTCTGGTCTGGTCTCTGTTCTTAGTCTCTCATCTGGTCTCTGGTGTGGACTCTGGTCTCTGGTCTCTGTTCGCTGGTCTCTGTTCTTAGTCTCTCATCTGGTCTCTGGTGTGGACTCTGGTTTAGACTTAAATCTGGACTCTGTACTTCTAGTTCTGTCTAAGTGAATATATCTGTAATTACTGCAGAATAGTGATTTTCCAGTTGGATAAAACAAAGGCCTCCTTTGCCCAATGAAGAGGTCAAATAGCAAAATCTACCGAGGAATGTGCTTGTTATATGTATTGATTAGTGTCTGCTGAGGAGTGGAGAAACTCTTGTGTAATTTATACAAGCAATACTTTTTCTATGCAACAATTCTTTGGGATATTTAAGCATAAGGGCAGACTACAAGAGGCAGAACTAATGATCGGGCATTAAACTGTTTCTTGAATGCAATTAGATGAGTAAATAATGGTATAATGCTAAGACAATAGCAGCTATCATTGAAATGGTAGTGATGGCAATTTGTGCAAACGAGAGTATAATGGACTTTAAAAATCTTCCCTGGATGTAACTTTTTTAGTACTGATACTTGTTCAGATAAGCATGTAGTTACAATACTAGTTTTAGAATCAGATTTTCGACACTTTTGACAAATAGGACCTTTAAGTTATGATTTCGTCTGGGTTTGTTTAAGAACCACGTCCCTTGTACAATCTGCTAAACACGCAACATTATCAGTAATCCTATCTCCACCACTGCTCCCCACAGCCTGCTAGCATCTACCATATTAAACCCTATAATATTAATTTAGCTCTAATTGAGTGAGAGTCCCATTCCCCATTTGTAGTCAGTGTGCCTTCAATGTGCTTTAAATCGGCCTGGGAAAATCCTCATATTAAAAGTGAACGCATCAAAAGCGAAATCAAAACCGAGACAGTGCTCCCACCGGAAAACTGCACCACGCGCCGCGAAAGACAGCCATGAAAGAACTGCATCAAGTATTGATAAAGCCCCAATCGGCAACAGCGGTAAAACAAAATACAGAATATGTCAGACTTCAACTTGGATGGCGCTCACAACTGTCACAACCGTCTGAAATAAGTTATAATGGAGGGTTTTTTCTACTGCAGAGAATGAACTGTTATTTTAGAAGGTCAATAGAAGCGGGGAGTGGTTTACTATATATTTTTAGATGTGCAATAAACATTTCTGACGGCGTACTTTATTTCTTTATAAAACATTTAAAATAGTTCATACAATTCTACGGAAGTCTAGTAAAAGAGAACTCCCCAGAAGTTCTGAC